TCAGAAAGCCGGTGGAGAGAGCGAACCCCACTCGCTCTGGCAGCGACGACGATGCTGGAATTATGATTTCAACAGCGAACGAAGTTATCTCGCACCACAGCTGACAAACAAAAAGAGGAGCGCGACCAGAAGAGGAGACAAGCTCCAAAAAAATCGCGAGGACGCCGACCCGAATTTAAATTGCCTCACTCCGCAGGCGCCTTCCTCATACAAATCTCGACGATCGTCATCCGTCCCTTCGTCGAATAATTCAGCTCCAAGGCGGGAGCATATATAATTCAGTCCATCTGCTCAGGTCTTGAAGGCGGGAATCAGGGAAATACGGGGAATGGGGGATGCCCCGAGCAACTCGTCGCCTTCGCGTACATCGATAGAAGTATGTACTCCAGCAATTAAACGCGAGGATGTCGTCATATCGGGCGATTAGATCTTATCGACGAACGGCTGAAACTTCTGATGGGAGTTCGCGGCTGTTATCCGAGTACGTGAGCAGATAGTCAGCCCGCAGATGTTTGTTTTTATTTTGATTATCAAGAGACCGCCTATACCCTAAATAGGTGCTAATGTTCTGAGCCGGAGAGGCACCCAAGTGCTGTCAACTTGAAACCGCCACCCATGGCGTTTGTCGGCGGCATGTCGAGCTGTTACAGCATCGCGGCCTGCGACATCGATTTGACATCTTCTACGCCGGTCCAAGAAGCTTGCTCAGTGCCTTTTAGCTTACTGCTGTCCCGTATGATCGGTCTGAGCGAGCGAGCGAGAATGCTAGCGAGCCATACGATCGTTCAAAGTTAGCTCTATGATCGCTCAGATTCAAGACAGGCCGACTGACTGACCGACCACGCGGCAGCGAGTGAAGGCAGAGAAGCCAAACACGCTGGAATCTATTTGACACAAAACGCCTTGAGATGTTGTCTCGCTCGTACAAGTCAATCATCTTCCACCGCCGAACGCTCGTGATTACTGTCGGCATAACCGACCGACTGCTTGGCCAACGGGCGTCAAACGGACGAACTCCTCGTCATTTAAAATGACCGTCTTCGCCGAATGGGCTGGGTGATTTGACATTTCACGTGTTGTACTCGCGTTGTTGAGATGCGCAAATAACCCCAATCAATTAACCGGCGGATCGAGCGAACGAGCCGCATACACGGGGAGGAAACAGAAGAGACCACCTCATACAACAGCATCAGGAGGAAGGGAGAGAGTCGTATATGTAGATAAATAGAGGGAGGGGGCGGAAGCAAGAAGAACGCGATGTGGGAATAATGCAGGAGGGATAATAATAATATTCATGGTGATAGAGAGCGAGCATCATGTTTTAGCCATCGTCTCCACCCTCGAGATCATAGCCGAGCGCTCGCTGCCGAGCGGTGGGGAACTCCGTGGCCGCATGCATCGCCTAGAAGCGGGTGGTTTAGTCGACTGGCAAGCTGTTTGGCAGATGAGCAAATTGTTCTCGGCACTAAATTTAATAAGGGAGACGAGTGAGCATCCATCCGCTCGCTCCCTTGCTCATTTCTATCCGCTTTTCTTCTCTCTATCTATCTCGCATTCGAGGGACCCCAGCGCCTCGCCGAGCGGGCGAAAAAGTTGTGCGTGAACAGAGTCGTTCTCCGAGTGCTGTAGAGTTCGAGCAAGCGATCATACGGGAACATGCCTCATCGAGGAGAAAGCGAATAAAAGTGGCAGGAGAAGAGTTTCTCGCTGACCGTCCGACGGGGGAATAAGACGAAGATATGGCACCTCCGAACGGGATCCCAACCCCAACGCATCCTGCATTATTCTCGGGGTTGCGAAATCGATGTCGTACTACGACGCGATAGAAGCGATAATTTTGTCGTTGGTACCGCAGTCGAAAGGTGGTGAACACGGTGGAGCCACCGGCGACGTTCACCTTTGGGATTTATTACGTGTTCGTCTGTGCTTGAGTCGCGTGAAATTTCTTGATGGTTTCATCGTTTCCAGGGAAGAAGAACCGTGGCTCGTGGAGGGACTCGCATCGCGATTCAGAAGCCCTCGCTAATTGTTCTCAGCGAACGAGAGAAATGACTTTGGTCAGTCACCGATTTACTGGCACTTCTGCTTCGTGGAAGCATTTAGTGGCATAGCAGAAGACGGACAAGAGGAATAAGCGAAATAACGAAGGGACGAAGCATATCGCAGTAGCGACGTGGAGAGGAGAGGAAGGAGAAGAAGACGTAACATTATATGGAAGTCTCCGCAGTCAACTATTAGCATCGTGATTATGATCGTAGCGGCTACTACCTACTACAATCGTCATTGCGTCATGAACTCGCCGAACGAATCAAAGAAGACGAAGAAGAAGAGAAAGGAAAGAGAACACGTGTTGATTCTCGAATAAAGTGCGAACGACCGACGCAACGATTTTCGCGACACGCGCGTTTTCGGTTCGGGACCGTCATTGCCGACTCGGCACGCAGCTCAATCCGGGAATGTTGAATACAGTGTCCATGGGTAACCGCTGGGTCTCCGAGGCCCGGATCGTCATATAAGGTTCTAGCGGTGGTTCCATTATTCAAATCACTACAGAGATTTCAGATACGTGTCATTCTCAGAACCCCCGAAGGCGGTGCAACGTCAGGATGCGTTTTCTTCTCTCTGTAGCCGGATGGATGGATATTCACGCTGAATGAACTTTCGCTGCGTACCAAAACGCGACATCTCATACATGTGACCGCGAAGGAGCCCGGGAGCTCTTTCGGTTCGCCGTCTCCGAGCCCTGAGCCGAATTCTCTCTCCACGGCTCGAGGTGGATAATGCACATGGTTCTCTGAACCCGGGAGGAATGAATGAATTCCGGGCGAAATGAGTCGACGAACGATCAGCTTATCAGATCTGAATCCCCGAAGCGTGTTCATTGGCCATCAAAAATGACGAGGAACTGCCAAACGGCTTGTTCAACACTTCGTCTGGTCCTGTCCGATGCTGCTGCGGACCAAGAGCTCATCGGACCGATATATGAACTGGCATGGCGTTCGTTCTTCGGGGAACACGAAATAGATCAGGGAAGACATTCAATTTCTGCCGACTCATCGAGAATGTTGTGAGAATCGTGTCAACTACTTGCTCGCTTGTCTGCCCGTTCGACGTAGCTCTTAGGTGGCGAGTATTTGTTGTCGGAAAACGATAGCAAACAATGGATCCGAACAAATGCGAATCACTTGCGTGAAACGCTCACTTTCTGGACTTCGGAAGAGCGCGCTCACAAATTACCACTTGTAGTTGGACATCGAGCGAGTCAGTCCGTGAGTGAGGCAAGCAAGGAAGCGAAGAGGCAGGCTGTCCGTCGGTTGCTGAGCATCTTGGCATTTTGAACGAAGCGTCACTTTTCTCAAAACGCCCATCTGTGCTGGACGGACTGACCTTAGCATTTCTGCTTCAAAGCGACGCTGTTCTAGAATAATACATCGTCCTCTCATTGTCCTTAGACTGACCACCCACCTCAGGTATGGTACGGTCATCACGTGTCGATCTGGCTCCATCGGTCCGGCCGGAGGTTTCCTTGTGTCGGGCGTTGAACATCTTTCCGAGGACAATGCAAATTGAGCAGGTCCTCTCCTGAGACGCTCATTGGATTGAGTACCACTGAGGAACAATCAATTTCCTCCTCAAGCGCAGACACTCGCGGGTGAGTTGCTCAATCGGGCGGTAGCATCGAGCTTTCATGTTTGCGCAACTGCACGATGGACTTCGAGTCCAGAGGTGGTGGGGAGCGGGGCGCTATCGATTTCGATTCCTCGGACGCGAGCCGCGGCCACTGGCGAGAAATCGAACGAAGCTATCGATGATCGTCGAAAGTAAAGATAAAAAACCACGAAGTATTCGCCCCGCCAAACCGCAGAACAGCGTCCACGTTTTTGAGACGGGAATCGGTCAACGCGCCCGGTGAGTACGTGCGACTGGATTAGCTTCTGCTGCCGAGGAACGTGACTTCGAAAAAAAGGAGAAAACTGAGGAACGTAGCGCCGAGGAACCACAAAAAATTACCGAGCCACGATTCTCGTCGAATTTCGTTCGAGAAGGCAGTGCGAATAGATTCAAGTGGTGGCGAAGCGTGAACCAAGATCGGTGGGGAATCCTAGACCCGGACTACCTATACCTCGCTTGAGCGAGCCAGGTCTCCAGTAGGCTTTTTGTTTTGCGACGGGAATTCTCTCGCGGAACTCGGCCGACACGTTCCTTCACCGAGCGAACCGCGATGGATATTCGAGACCACGGTTCCCGTCCGAGGAATAAGTCCTCCGAGGCTCCAGTCTGAATATCTCCATTGAAGTCTCTTGTTTTGACGTGCCTCTGACATAATTATCGAATGGCGTACCCAGGGTTCGAGCGGTGAACGTCATGAGCTCCGTCATTACTGAAGACTGAAGACGTCGTCGTTCACCTATCTTCGTAACCATTATTAGTCCCAGTACATAAATATGAGTTGAGTTCTTGGCTTCCCGCTTGCCTCCTTGCTGCAGAACGTCCGTAATTTCTGAAGCTGCCTGACTGAGGCGAGGCGTGACTGACATTCCTCGAGCTTACTAACCATTATTGCTTGATGTACACCCATAATTATTGCCCACATTATCATTGCCATTGCTATGTTTCCCTTTATCACCAGAACCACCACTATGACTGCGTTTTACGATGACTATAGTTATGCGTGATAATGGGAGGAAAAGCTTCGCCGATCGAGCTAGCTCTCCTCGGCTTGGATCCGGAGAAGCGGAATGTTTCAGAAGATATCGTTGATTTATCTCACTCAGATGTCATCATCAGCGATAGCTCGGTCAGCGAACATAAATTCGAATGCGACTCTCGGCGGATTCCCGCTTTCGCCGCCCCGCTCCCGCAGGAATGTCGAGCAAAACTTGGAGAATGTGAGCAGGATGAAAAATCGCGATGTTTATGGGGACAGGGGCCCGAATCTCAGGAAGGAGATCAGGGTTCCCGTTGCGGAAAATAGGGTTTCTCGTTTTCGTGGGACTTACCGCTTGAGGGCCGATCTGAGTATCTCGTGCAATAGACCCACGCGGGCCAAAGTCCTCGTTTGTCGGGCCCGATCGCTCCTTCCTCCGAAGATCCTGCCGCAGCCTCGTCGCTCTGCGGCCCTTTGAGTCTGTCTTCGTGAATGGTGTCCTGACTCTCACTGTCCTCCTGTCTTTCTACAAGTCGAGGAATTCTCGCCGGGGGCAACGACGACGATTCCGGAGTTCTCGAAGGAGACGCCTCGTCCGAGCTTCGTCGGCGCTTCCTGTTCTCTGGCGATTTGCGACCCTGCATGAGCTGCAGGTTGTGCAAGTGTTGCATGGATTGCAGCGCGGACAGCTGCAGGTTGTTGAGTCCCGCAGAGGCGGCGATCGGGAGGTTCTCCTGCTGACGCAAGCCAAGACCGACATTTTGCGGCATCGCTTTGAGGCAGCTCTGCAGACTGGCGAGGCTCTGCATGGTTTGCATTTGACTGCTGGAGCCCTGCACGGCCTTCGCTTGCTCTAGGTGAAGCTGTTGCAATCGCTGAAGGTTCCCAGCGAGGCTCTGCAGCTGGAGCAGCTCCATCTCGGGTCTCGAGAACGGGAACTGCGCCCAGAAGTCGTTCCCGAACGCCGGCGAGAGAATTTTCTCGATCGAGAACTTGAGATCTTTCTCCGAAGCCTTCCATTTGTTGTTGGCGTCATTTGCTTCATCCTCAGTTTCCTCATGAGGAGCCTCGGAGTTGGAAGCTTCGCCGTCTTTCTGCCGCGCGCTCGCTTGATTGGAGCTCTCGTCGCGTTTGTCTCCCTCATCGTCGACGGAGAGCTCTTCTTCGTCTTCTTCGTTGTCTTTCGAGTCGGTCGATGCCCGGAGACTGTCCTGCAGGCTCGGACCCTCACAATTCTGTCCTGATTGAGAGTTCTCTAGGAGGGCCTGCTGCCTTAGGATGGCCTGGGCGGCCGACAACATGTAGCAGAACATCGCGTCGTCGATCTGCCGTTCCTCGGAGAGCGAACACACAAGAAGAAAATTCTACGAACACCTCAACAAACACAACCACTTGATCCTAGTCCTGCACGTATCGAGTCCTCGACGAAGTCTCTTGATCCGCGTTGGGGAGTCCTCCTCTCGGGGATTCCCACAATGTCGAACTTTGAAGCCGCAGTTTCCTCCTTGAGCGGCTGTGTTTTCTCGCGCTTTGTCAGTCGTGGGAGTTTCTACGCGCTCGATTGCGTCTACGAGTCTAACTCTGCGATCGTAGGCAACGAACGAGAGCTGGACTCGCAGGCTCAGCGCAATACAACACCGTCAGGTCTCCTCCACTATGGCGGCGTCGGTGGTAGCAGACCGTCGAACGACAACGTCAACCACGCACGATGTTGTTCTGCTTGCTCTGACGTCGGAGAATCGCACACACGGTGGGAGCAGGCGATCTCTCCTCGGACTGGACGGGACGACGGGACCACGGTCAAGCTCCGAAGTGGCGTGTTCACGAAGGATTCTAGAAGATACTATTCCTAAAGTGGCCGGGTGCTCGCCTAGCTGCTGCCGTCGTCTGCCTGATCTCTCTTCGAAAAGTCTGACCAACTGGACGGTGGACTTGATCACGGTGAAGGTGGACCGACCGACCCGCCTGCCTGCTTGTGTGTCCCCGGATGGGATGCTTTCGTGCTGCTCGCAGGACAACGATCTAAGTGAGAAAATCGCGAAAAATTGCCGATGCCTTGTTCAAATCGAGATTTTGTTGTTGCGGCGGCGGGGAGATCGGGCCGAAGTTGGTCGAGGGCGGGGCTTGTTTGGCCGCCGAGCTTTTGATTCGATGGCGGCCCGATGGGCGGAGCTCATCGCGCTAGCCGAATGCTCTCGTGAGAGGGTGAACAGGGCTCGCCGCCGTTCGCTCTTATGATCTAGTGCTGCTCCTCATGGCGCTCTTTCAGCGGCAGCAGCCATTCGGTGAGCCGTCGGCGGCGGTGAGCAGACGGACGTTATCGCACTCTCGCTCTTTCCCCGCCCTACGGACAGCGGTGGGCGCCGACGACATCGAACGTCGTCTGCTCAGTGGTAACCGCTGTTGTTGCCGCCGCCGCCGGGGGAATCGCTTTCGTTGACGAGGTTTATTGCTTTATCTGTACCGTCGACCCGTCGGCGTCGTCGGTAGAGTTGTCATTCGTAGAACAGATAATTCGATTCCACGGAATCGCTTCGCCTTCTTGAATGAGATGCACAAGTAACGAAAGCGAACTGTACCAGAGAGTCTTCGGCTCAGTTCTGCAGCATTCTTCCCTAACTACGCCCGCCTAAAATTTCGCCGACCGATGAAGAAGCCCCTGGACTGACGGGAGGATTCCTGCGTAGGCCGCGAATTCACCACCTGCGCGTCGTGTGACGATCGGCCTTCAGGTTTGAAACCTCGCACAGCAGTGCATATAATATTAATTAATGGTAATTGATGATAAATCTCCGAAAACTATCGAGCATGGGCTAATGTAAATATAAACTGAAGCACGACATGCGTCTTCGACATCCGGAACCGTGAGGAGCGATTGATTTTTCGCCGAAGACCGATGAGATAATTGGCGCATGATTCAGATGAAGGTAGCTTGGCATCGTATCTGTATCATCATCATTCGGGCAGGAGAGTCGGGTGCAGGAGACGTTGCTGACATACTCCGGCGTTGAACAGGTTTCGAATAATCAGATGACGGTGAAGCCGGGGACGGATCAATTAAGCAAGGTCCTCCCGACCCGTAATTGGAGCGTGCATGTAATCACCGCTCGGCTGAAGGCGCGAACTCCTCGCTGACCGCGATTCATCGTAAGAGCTCCTCGATTCCCATAGAGAGTTGAGATACTGCGAGTCTTCGAGCTTTCGGCATCTCGTCGGATGACGAACGATGGATGCACTCCAAGTGTTCACCTGTAGTCCATGACCCATGACGCGTAGTAGGATTCCGAAAACTCATGGACTCGATAAAGAGCTCGAGACGCTCAGATGATCAACAAGGTCAACCTATGGAGCCCTCAAGATTGATTTCGGGATGGCGGAGGACCACAGTCCCTGGATCAAGGATCTCGTCTTCAGAGACATGTCCCCTCGAAATTCTCATCGGTCTCGGGAAGCTCGCGGCTTCGTGTTTCGGAAATCGCGAGTCAGCTTAACATGGGCCGTCTCGAAGCGCGAGTTCAAGAATCGCGCTTTCCTAATTACTAATTAGATACTGCGATTGTCCGCGAGGTCTATTGAAGGCAAACCAGCCGAAAAGCATCATCGACCGATCGCAGAGAACCACGAGGAAATTGCAATGCTTTTGCGAGAATAAGAGAGATGGAAAGTACTATGATTCAGTCTCCGTGTGCTCTCAGTCATCATCCCCATCTTGATCGTTGCCGTCCATCGTTATGTTGAAGTTCTCCACAATCTCAGCGTGACATGTTTCTAGAATCAAATAACATGTCACCGACAAAAAGGTAAGGCGTATTTCTCTTTCCCCCCCCCCCACAGAGCTCGATATACTCCCGAATTTTCCCCGCTGATATCCATGCAATTCGATTCCTGAACGTCGGAATCGAGACTCGAAAACGTCCTATTCGATCGATTCAGAAATCGATCACGCACTATTGGAACAGCCCGCCGAAGCCCTCCTCCAGCACTTTTTGAAAATGTTTGCACGAGTATAAACTCGCCGACAGCTCTCGGGACTGAATGGATCAAAGGGATGGGCTTGTCGGGCAATTTTGCCTCGATTCGGGCCCGAGAGGATCAGTCAGAAAATGAGAACAATTGAGTATGATCGCCATTAGGGTATTACCGACGAAGTCCTCGAAGTAACGGCCAAAATCATTCCTGGTCCAGACAGGCATTTCGATCTTGTCGTTGATCAAGAAGCTTCGGACGCAGCCCAAGAATGATTTCATCTCAAAATTCAATTTGTGATCCCTGGAATTGCTTCCTCATGAGCCGAATACTCTTCTGTACTCCCTGGGATCCCGGGAGGTCGTGGCTGCTCTATCGAGCCTAGGGTCTGGAGCCTTTCGGAGTACGTACCGGGTGAACTCTTTAGCGTAAGTACCCAACAAGATGCGATAATACGCGAATCTTTGATCAAGCCAGTCCTTCCGAATCTCACTGGCTCGTCGTATCGACAATCTGGTATGATACGGATGATCGGGATATGCTTCCCGAGGGGGGACAACGAATCTGTCATCCTTCTCGCCTTCCGTTTCTCCCTCGTGAAATCGGTCGATAAGCTCGTCTCTCGCGAACGAGGTGGCGTCTGTCACCGTCAGCCTCAGCATTTCGAATGGCTCGAATTCCACTCTGATCCTAGTAACACGGCCTCTAGGGAAAGTTATGTTTAGCTCCGGCTTGTGTCCATCTCCTGTTTCGAGAAATCGTCGCTCAATTCAGAGCCCATAACCAATTTTCTATAGGGAATTCCCGGGTAGGCAAATAGACATTGCCACATGAGGAGGGGAAAGGAAATCGGGATTGCGAGGGAAAGCGCCAACCTGTCATAGGCCACAAGGTACACTTGTATACGTATAAATTGTTTTCCAAGTCGATATGAAGTGTCGCATGGAACCGCTCTCCATCTCTGCTGTCGAAGAAGAATGCTGTCCAGACTAGGCCCTCGAGTTCGGGGAGTATAACTATCTCCACTCGGAAGTTCCGGCTGAGGATGGCATCGTAATACCCAACGAAACTCTCGTATTCGGGACGCATCCGTAGACTTGTGGTCCAAGTTCCTCTCTGGAGGGTTTAAGATCCTTGGTGCATGATCTCTTGGCTTAACGATCGTATGAAGAGAAGTTCCAACGTACCGCCGTTTCTTCCGAAATTGGACGTTTCCTCTCTATGGTCGTGTCGGAACCGACTCCGAGGTCCGGGTCGTCGAGGGGATCGACGAAATAGGTCACCAGAAGAGCTACGATCATGAAGGTGATACCGACAAGCCGAGAGTGTAACTTCTGATTCTCATTCAAATACTGATGCCAACTCGTTCGGCTCCTTATCCGTTCGGAAGGAACGCGCGAGGATGACCTTGTCAGAATAGAGATATCGAACTCTTTCGTGGACGACTCCACTGCCATGCAGGCCGGATGGACTTCCGAGCTGGCAATCGAACCTCGTCGTTTCAATGAAACTGATGAACCTATGAGGAAATACGCGGGTTTCCGATTTGTGCGAGTACCTTTATCGCCTATGTGGCATTGGCAGCAGCACCCAGTCCACATTCGACGCTTGTTCGGTGATCGCTCGAGAGATATGGTCTGCGCCCGGCTGCCCGGGTCATCGAATTCCTTTCTGCCCCATATGCGGCTGCAAGGATTCGGCGGAATTATCACGACGACTACGGTTACTTTGTGGTCAAGGGTCTCCATCATGAGACGGTCACTTTGGGTCAGCACCCTCGAGCGGAGAGTGCGGGACGGACGCTCCCGGGTGGTATTCTTCGTAAGGGGAGATCGGACCGGGAAAACCCTGGGTACGATTTTCGGTACCACCGACCCTCACTATCCGGTCACGAGAATTCTGCGCATTAATCGTCCAGGCTCCTCGAGCTCGCCACCGTCATTTGGAGCGGAGGTGGGATCTTTTGCCCTCAACGACTCGCCTAATCGATATTCTCTTCCGTGCAATCCGCTCTCGTGAGCAGATCCTTCCGGCAGACGCTATGCTCATACGATAACCGCGATACCCGAAGTTCGCCATCACCATTTCCGGAGCGTCTGCGACAAGTTGGTCACGTTGAGCGAGATCGCGCTCAGTGAAACTGACTGGATCCCGAAGATCTCCTTCAGTCTTTCAGCGATTCGTCTCAGTCCAGCCCGCCGCAATTACGCGATCACGCTCCGGCTCGGCTGAGAGCTCGTACGACTTCAATAGAACTTCCGTTCGTTTACGAAGCCGCGCCGAATTTTCTCGGAATGGGATACTTCATAAAGATATTTCTCTTCGGCAGATGATTGTCGACGTAGAC